GGAAGACCATTGTCGTTATCAAATAGTCTTTAGACTAAAAAGTATTTGGAATAAAAAATATGATGCGGTTTGAAGTCCAAGATGGCAAAATTTAGACATTTTATATGAAAATCTATAAAAGGACGTAACCGTCACAGGACTCGCAAATTAATGTGAATGATAAAATATTTATGTGGTCGTTCGTTCCAAAAACAGGTGACCCAGTTGTAATGAGTCTTCTGGTATTTAGGGACATTGTGATTCATGAACTCGACCACATCAACTGTCAAACGAAAGCAATTATTCATTGATACCATAATATACGAGAAATAGCGCTCATTGAGTAATATTATTTGAAATGGCAAGATCTGTGTTACTTATAGGCCGATGGCTGTTAGCAACATGTAACGTTATTTCGTATTAGTAAACATTTCATTTTTATTTTTTCACATTGAATTCCATTGTTTAAAAAAAAACTCTACTCTTAAAAAAGACTCGAGCCTGAGACGTGTCGATGAAACGTCAAAATATCCGCTACCAATGGAACAGTAGCGGAATGACGCTAAGGAATACACCTCCAACGTCAAAATATCTTCGTTGTACGTAGAGGCTGCAAACGCACAGATAATTCAAAAATCGCACAGATAATAAAAACGATTTCGTAGGCGCGGTGACAGTTTTCCCGCGCTTCCAAGGCCCGACACGCGACGCGCCGCGCGTCGGCTATAAGGTGCCGGCAGGAAGTTTACGCAGCACGTGCGCGCGCTTCCTCGCACAGGATGTTTTAAAATCCACACGATTGAAATCGGCACGGGGCCGGGCCGCTTCGATTGGAGTCGCGAATCGGTTCGTGAGGCAGCTACTAATAAAGTGCGTGCACACCTGTAATTTCTCTAATTAAAAAAAAGTATTGACACAAAAACGGTTGCGAGGTATATGTTACTATATACAAAGGAATTTCGGAATACGTCATCAGCAAATAACATTCCACCTAATTTATAAAAAAATTCTATGTATTAAATGCGTGATCTTTTAAAAGGGTTGGGTATGTTTTAACTTCATCATATAATAGTTTGTTTTACTTATTCGAAACAAAATAACCCTTTTTTTACTAACCAAAAACGAAAGCGACTTCATTTTATACTTTATACTTGATTTCCCTAAGTATCTCGGGAACCCAAAATCCAATACCAATGAAATTAATATGGGACCACATGGGAAGTAGCAGCTTTCAAATAAAAAAAAAAGAATCATCAAAATCGGTTTGCTCAGTCAAAAGTTCTGAGCTAACAAACAAAAAAAATACAGTCGAATTGAAAACCTCCTCCTTTTGAAGTCGGTTAATATAGCAACAGTTTAATGCTAAAAAAGGACAGGCAAATCACACGACTAGGAATATCACGACCACGCGCTTTGTACGAACAAAATTCGTTATTTGTTGACTCAACTAATGTGGTCGGGAGCGAGTGTAATTTGCGGTTAGACGCACCGTACGAATGCGGTCGGCTGAATTGACTGCTGAAATTATAAATATTTACAACGCAACGTCACGTACATTCCATTACAGATTTTTTTCTGTTTTATTATCATAGACTCACTAAATATGGCGGCGTCTGTCCAGTTAGCAACGGGCCTGAACTAACGTTTATCTGCCCTCGCCATACTACAAGGGATATAGCTGAAGTAAAAACGACTTGTGACCAAAATGCAATAATTTGGCATACCTTGTACTAGTTTTTCTGATAAGTAGTAAAGTATTTTTAGTTTGTTTAACAGATTTCCAAAACTTACGTGACTCTACATGCACATAATTGAGTAATATGCAAGTTCCACGTCTACGTCTTACTTAAGTACTAGCTATATTTGCCTCTTTTTACATTTTAATAGACTAATTAGCTTTTTATTTAACATGGTTTGTACTTAGCACTTTAGTGTGTCAACTTTAAAATAATAAAAACTCACTGTGTCGCCTGCAAAAGTTAATGAAAGCTTTTATCAGCGGGCAAGCACCAGATATTTCGTCGAAACAATAACTATAATAAATTTTCTTGAATTTGGTTTCTTTGTTTCTAATATCCAAACAGCCTCTATATGAGCACGCAACAGTGTTTACTAACTTTAATACAAAAAATCACCGCGCGCGCCATCTGCTGTCGGTGTTAGGGAACCGCGTTACATAACTGTTTGTTCAACAAATAAACTATTCGGGCACCCGGTTTCGCTTCTTGTGTCTGCATCTGGAATACAAGTCAGGAACATAGGCATTCAGCAGTCCTCCATTAGCTAAGAGGCTGTTTAAGACTTTTAGATTGCTGCAGAGGTGGCGTGCGATGTGGGGTCGATGATTCGAGTCTCACGCCCGGTTTCTGAAACGCTGATCATCGTAGAAATTAACTAATCAGGTGTCAAATGGCTCCTCAAATGACATTTGAGTTGCCAAAAGGATGGTTAAACTCTGATCAATGGGTGTATTGTTGATCTGTGTATCACCGATCAATTGATGTGGGTATTCAATGTTTGATCAATGAAACCGGGCGTCATGAACGTACACCAGCGTCCTCGTTTTTCTCTATGATATTGTATACAAATATGAGGTAGAAAGAACACTAGCCCACCGAAACTGAGGCGCTCAAACAATTGGTGCAAATCTGTAGACTGCTATCTCTTTCCGTATCATAAGTTCTATATCATCTGTCACATTCATTTATATTATGTCATATAATGTAAAGCGAAACAGTTTTTAAACGCCAGCAGTATGGACTTGCGTCAACAAGATTATTAAAATCATTGGCTTTCAAGCGTTAGGCTTTCGTACAACTTGTCTGCCATGTATCCTGTATGTATTTGATGTCATTCATTTCGTTTAAACCCGATTCTAATAATTCAGGTGAGGGACATATTCAGTATCTACGGAGTGCATATTAATAAGAAATTATGAGATTTTTTTTAAAGTAATGAAAAAACATTCGGAGCTATTATAGGTTATTTCTAGAAATAGCAGAAGTTATCAAGGTCTCCATATGAAAATGACGTACTGAAATATACCCTGTACACAAATTTACACGTCATTTGTACACGTCACAGATTATAATAGTTATCTAACCCCTATGTTAAAGATAAATCAACCGAAAAAACGTCGTTGAAAGCGCTATTTTTAAACTGGAACCGCGTAACAATAAAAAGCGTAATCTAACCCTCCAACGGGCGGTGTATGTATCCATTTTTAAATATGGCGGCCCAGGTTAACCCTTCGCCATGATATACGTCTCCAGGGCACGTGTTAAATTAAAAGTAACATTAAACAGGGCTTTGCAGTAAAAAAAAGCTCTCCTCCGACATCCCTTTTGATATGTATAATCTATTTATGTTTATGACGCGTCATAAACCTGGAGCTATTTCACGCTTTTCTCGGCTTTCTGGGATACCATAAGAAAATTAACTCAAAACGTTACAAATCTGCAGTGGCAACGAGCTAACAAAATAATTATTGTCATAATTTTTCGTTAAATATTAGTTGTGTCTTTTTGGGAGCCTTTTTCGTAAAAATGAAGGGTCACTTAATTTATCTTTGTCACCATATATGGTTTAAGTAATTTTACAAATATACAGGATCCTATGCCATATATTTTTTGTCAAGATCTTTATAATATTAAATTGCCATCAAATGAAGTAATTTATTGTTACTTTTCTTTGTGAAGCAACACTAAGAACACATTTGTAGACGGTTCACGTAATGAAATGTAAAGCTTCTTCGAAATGTGCCTCTCCGAAAGCCGAATCAAAATGAAAATACAACACCATCTTTATTTATAAAACCATCCCCTTTCACTGACCCATAAAGAAGCGGTGAATTAAAAAGTCCCGTTATTTTATACGCTTGTTTATTTCCATGTTTAATTTTATACGGTGCCAACGAACTCGACCGGTCGGCAGCACTGAGCGGACGATAAATTTGTAACTTATATAACTGAAATGCAGAAACCGCATTAAAAATCTCCTCGAGCTTCGATTTATTATGATAAATCGTTTTTCTACTCTGTCCCAATATAACATAGCGCACTCCACGAATTTGTTACTAAATACAGGAGCGTTAACGTTTTAAATTAAGAGAAAATACGCTTCCATTCGTCCACTGAAGGTTTGACGGTCATCGTCCAACCTGACAAATATATCTTTGCCGCTGTATATAGCTCGCTTCGACAGATTCTGTGCCTTGTGTCTTCGTAAATCCGAGCTGAAACGACAAGACGACCGCATACTCAGCGGCAGTTTGTTTATCACGAGCGAGCAGTAAAGGGAATGCATTTTGACGTTTATTAGATTTCACGCACCCTGTATTTCAGTGGTTACGGCTTTGCAACGAAGTTTGTGCATTACGTATTGAATTTTATGTGAGTTGAATGTAAGTTGTGTTTATTTTTGGGATTTGTACAGATGTTTCGCTAGTGCAAGCGATTATATTCTCGGACGAATCTCGTCATCTTCACCCAAATTTAACGGCGATCGGTGAAGGTTGAACAGTCTTCCGCGATCTTTCCGTTTTCCATAATATATTTCTATCCATAATATATTTATTAGATTTGATCGTGTCATAAAATTAATAATCATTAAAAGTAATCAGAATTTATTTCAGACTGTATGGTGTCATAAAGACCGTATATAAGTTACTTATAATTATCAGAAAAGCATAAAAATATTTTTTATATAGCCTAAATAAGTATGACGTGATAGCCAACCAATAATGTACTAAACAGTTCCACATGTGAGTGGAAAAGACAAAAATTTAAATAAATAAAAGGAATTATGCATATCCGTTGCCTCGCATGTGGTTTTAATGTCAAAATATAAAGATGTCTTCTGTTCATAAACGTCTATGGCGTATACTCACTTTCCATTATTTGTTATAATAAAAACGCTGTAAATTTCTTATCACATTGTTCCAGAACCTAATGGATCCCAATAAGACAAGTTGAAATTCGTCGTGAAACATGAAGCGGGCCGCCATTGCGTTTTGGCGCGAAATGTCAATCGCTGTCACATTTGCTCTCGTGGCTTTGGCAAGCGTTGCTTCAGCCAGAGACATCATTTTGGGTGAGTAAAGTCTTTTTAGTGGGATAGAACAGTTTCCTTGTGTAATTTATTCTATTTCTTGTGTTTGTTGTACACGGATTGTGAGATAATTCACCGGAACTACAATAAATATGCCCATACATTTTTTTTTCGAGTTAATTTAAAAAAAAAATAATGTTATGTACGTTATTAATGAGATTCAAGAACAAGTAGGAACTTAAATGTGTCCATTGCCAAAATAAACCTCAATCCAAACTAAACAATGGTCCAATACGTACTCCGTCAGAATTTATACAGGCCTCATTAAATAGGAAACCGTTTATTTCGTATTCCCAACATTCGTACAAGTATATATTAGCTAAAATCTCCGACGCGACGCGGGGAATTCGAAATTTCGGATGGGCGCGGCCCCGCATTCAAATTAAACGTGTCGAAACCTACATCGACGGTGTTCATCGTTATTTTGGCAATCGATAAGGATATCTTTCGCCCCATTGTCATTCAAAGCAAACGGTCCGTGGCGCCATTACGATATTATAATGCGCAAATATGATTTTAATCTTTCAATATTTCGAAACAATCGACCCTTTAATGCAACGCCAATTCATTTACTGAATAAATTATTCAACATTATCCTTACGTAATTTATGCATGCTAAAAATCTATTAACCGTCATTGCTTGAACTGTTTGCATCACATCAATCTTTAGCTAAGATATGTCATGACTTATTTCTACATTGAAAATGTCCCTTCAAAGATGAATAAACGTATTTGAAATAAAAGTAAGATACTCGTTTCCAACTACATTAAAATTTTGGTTACATGTGTTTGCATTGGATGTCGATGGTACATTAGTAACCCTTTGATGCAGTATGACAATGGTACAAATTTAACTGAGAATTAACTCTGAAAATACAGACACCGGAAAGGGTTATCCCTTCACGGGGACAAATCGATTGCCGCGCAACCCTCATTTGGTACTCATTAACAGCGCCGGATGCTTAGACAATTATGGAGTTGTCCAGCGGTATCTGAGCCAATGCTTTCTTTTGAAATCACTGATCGCAAGCGATCTGCAGGCAACTGGTAGGAGACAGAGGTCTTGCTCGGTTGGTCGTTATGAATTATTAAACGCGACGTCCCTGCTACTGTTGCTGCGGGGCAATCAACTTTAGTCATTTCATATTGACTTCTTTTTGGAGTCGCCGATCTTCATTCGTCGTACTGAATCCTAATACGACACCTGTCCCCTTCGATATCGCCAATGGAAGTCGTCATATACGAATAACGTCATATTTAATAATTCTTGATTCTATATATTCTTCTTATTTGGGTTCTGGTAATACTTACGCACTTTGTACGGGGAATGTCGTAACTGTCTCGTTTGTAATTAATCATTTAAGTGTAAGAGTTAAAGTTTGTTGTAATTTTAATAAAACTAACCTAAGAGGAGAGTACAGAAAAAAGCTTTGAGCTTCAACATTAGCTGAAGATTTAATCGTTGCAGAAATAAAAAACATGTGTGAACTTATGTACGCACGAAAGAAGTTATACTTCTATAGTAAAAAAAAAAAAAACTGCGAACTTTATCTCCTGTGTCAGTACTCTTACTTTGTGAGAAAGATATAAAATGCAATTATAACGGTTTAATTAAAAAACTTGGTATTATAGATAATGTCAAAAAGCTGTTATTGGTTGTCATGGTAATACTCTGAAGTCAGTCGAAGCCGATCGCTAAGCAACCACCTTCATCATGTTATTTTTTGCCTGTTGTTGTGCGCGCGCATCGTAATAATTTTACGCTCATATTTTTCCAAACGCACCAAAAGAAGTATAACTTCAAAAATTACCAATAACATTTCGTGACACTACACACAATTTAGATACTTAACTTAGCTCTTAAAGCTAACATTGTTGCGCGATAATACTATCTACGTATGTATGCATTTTAATATCTGCTCTCAAACATTCCTATCGCCTCTATAGATAAGTCGTAAATCTTCCTTTGGGGATAACACGCACGCTCCCGATGTTTGTTCAGGATCGAATTGGGGTGCAGTGGCGCCTTCAACTTCGCGGAATGCCATCATTGTAAATATTTCCCTGGCTCTGGAAACGTTGGATATTTGCATTGATATATCTTTGGAGATGTTGCAGGCGCGCGAAGAAATTTATACATCAATATACACCATCGAGCGCCAAATATGCGTGTACAATGAAATGCAGCAGGAAGACGGATCCTGAAATAAATTTAAGTTTTTATCGTTTAACAATAGCTATAAGAACGAGCCAAGTTGAGTGAGTTTTACGACATTATATAAATCTTTATAGATATAAATAGAGAGGTAAAGGAAAGGGCTATGAACAAGAAAGAATGGAGGGTGATACACAGCAGAACTAAAGTGGGATGCTGCTCCAACAAGAAACTAGCTCTTAAATTAAAGAGAGAGATATATAGATGCTGAGGAACAAGTGCTTGAGTTTTACATTAAAGCTAAAAAATAATATAACTATGAAGTGCATTTGACTCTTATATTTTAGTATAGTTTACAGTAGACTGTCGTCTAAGATACGAAACGGAGAATTAGTTTTCAACTCGACAAATCCACAAGGCCTTCAATATCCGTTGGTTCACACGAAATCGAACAAAGGACCCTCGTTGAAAAAGCGGGGGATTTTTTCCATGGTTTCCCGAGCTCGCGAGCGCCTCGCGTATTTCGCGTGGAATAACAATACGAGTAAGACGCGCTTGGACGGAAGTCGGCGCCCTTTGGGCCCCGGCGCATCCTACGGGTATGTCATATCGACCCATCACGGACACGACCGCCGCATTAGCAATACACTGGGAAAATCGTGATTATCCGCAGCGGAGCCTCGTGAGCCTCCGCAGCCTTGGACAGCGTTTCGTATTCGAAGCGCATTCGTATTGTGAAAACACTCTCACAATGGGCTGGGGATCGCTCTTGTCGCTTTATTGGTGATTGTTCAGCTAGCGCGTCTATTGGTACCCGCTATGCATAGTACATAGACAAGCATACGACTTGAAACATAAGTTATATACAACTGCGGTGCGTTTTGTAGGTGGCGTTAGACAACCTCGTGTCATGGTTTACATTAATCATAGGTTTTTTCATTGGGTTTAATATGGAGTAAATCCGAGAGGTTTGATTTTTGACTTTGAGTATGTAATCCGAGTGGCCGATATCGAGTGAAAGCAAATTAATAGTGGTATCATAAAGTCTATAGATTTTCGTTAACGAGTGAACTGAGAAAAGAAAACGTATGGATATATATGTTTTTGATAAAGTCTACAGGTTTTGTTAACGCTACGGAGGAGACTTGCATTAATAGAAAACTTTGAAGGACTTACAGAAAGTGGGGTAAACGATCATTGACCATCATGAATAATTTGGATATCTGTACTATTTGCGATATAAATTTTAACAGTTGTGATACTGTCCTGAGAATCTTTATCGCCAACAAATTGCGGTGAAATGAAAGAATTGACCGCTGACCTGCGAATGGAAATGGGAGAAAAAGAAAATAGACAAATCACGAGCGACATAAAAGTCGAACGTTTCAAGTCGCCTTCACTCGCGGTCCATTAACCTACCGCAGCCGATTGTTTTGAGGAGCGCCCATTTTAATGGGGCATAATACATTTGACATCTATAAAAACCCCCAACGGAGACTAAATAAACAGATCCGTTATACCCGAAAGCATGAGCATACCGAGGCGAATAGAAGTGGAGATGACGCTTAAAGTGCCGTAAAAATTTTATAGTTGAAAGCAAAAAAAAATAAATAGTTTTTCGCCCGCTCCATTTAGGAGTTATACAATAAAACTTTACAACTGGAAGAAAATAGACTCGGTTGGTAATGTATTTCGTAGCGCCAAAGTTTTGCCTACTGCGTTCGGAAAAGAATGCTGCCTATATAGAAAACGACTACCTACACCTGGTTTATTTTCCAGTGTATGCCTTTTATCCTGTACTTCTTTTTCTTACATTTTTAATGCAGTGACTGGCAGTCATCAAAGGCAATAATATGCTCTATGGCACTTGAAGATGTATTCATTTCAGATTACTTTCATGAGATATCATTAATATTGTATGAAATAATAAATTTTAAAAACGTTATAAAACAAAATTCTATTCTAGTATTACGACATTCTAGATAACTGGCTGAAGATTTGATAACACTTTATAATTCTGGCATTAAACGCACTTTTGTTCATACCTGCAATTAATTATGCTTAAGATAATTAAGAAACATATACAAACAAGAAGTTATCTGTTACTACATAATGAATAAAGATAACAAAGTGAGGTCTTGCAACGGTTTCTTTCACCATGCGACCCCACCGCTGATTTACATTCTTCACATAACTTCTAAGCATACTATTGCTATTTCGAATAATAATATAATATTACTATTTCGAAAATATTCGGAGTGCCGGCACCAGGGTTTCAACTCAATTTGCTTCAACTCAAAATTTTATTGAATTACAATCGAGCACCTGACTACAGGCTATCACGGCTTTGCTTTGTTCAATCAAACACAATGAAAGCATTTAAAGTTAAGTATTTGAAAGGCGCCTGACGTATTAAAATCGTATTTAAAGTAAACGTCACAACATTTGAAAAGACGGGCGGCGTTGATGTATTTCAGTGCGTAATAAGCTCTTTGCTGAGCGAGGACTCAAAGATTTTGTCAGATCGCACATCACGCTAACAACGCAAGTGCGAAAACCCATTAATTAAACTTGTTTTCTCTCAAATCAAATGAATCTACCATTATTAGCGCAAGCAAATATAGGCTTTAAGTACAATCTATAAGGTTTATTAATTTCTGTTCTTAAAAACAAGTGAAATGCGAAGTCAAAACGTATGTTGGGATTAAAAGCCCGGTTTATCAACGCAGTGTAATTGTCATTGTCTATATACCATTACTTCTTTATAATTTTGTATTAATCCTTTTACCATTACTAAGTTTTTCTGCGGCCGCTAATAACTTATTTT